ACAGAGGCACATGCGGACCTTGGCTGCAACAAGGTAGTGATCCGAGTAGGCCTGGGTAACGGCGCAAATTTTTTGGCGCTGATACACTAACACCAGTGCCACTGCCGGAATCAGAACAGTGTGTTGGCACTATTGCGCCTCTTCAGGCAGCTTAACGCAGTGGTTTTCTCAGAGTTGCTTTGCCGATTCATACGACTGCAAGAATGATAGAATACAAGGTGGTGTTACTAGAACAGCTGATTGGATATTTTCCACAACTTTATATAGACGCGCCTTGACTGTAATTTTGGCGGACATTTACTGGCAAATTGGCGCATTTTCATCTTGCTTACTCCTGGACATTTTACAAGTAAGTTGATTAATGTCTTAAAATTTTTTCCAAACAAAATTATAATCGTGTCCTTATCGACAGGAGCTTATTCGTCCAAGCGTCGCTGTGAGTTCCACGAGCGTTTCACTGCATTTTCATCTACTAATCACTAATTTTGCGTATTCCTGCACATTTTACAAGTAAGTTGCTAAATGTCTTGAAATTTTTTCCAAACAAAATTATAATCGTGTCCTTATCGACAGGAGCTTATTCGTCCAAGCGTCGCTGTGAGTTCCTCGAGCGTTTCACTGCATTTTCATCATGCCAAATAAAAAGAGCGAAATATGGCTGCACTTCTCCGATGAGAAAGACAAACAAGTAAAGTGTAAGCTATGTGGTCAGCAGATATCCGTGGCAAACAAATCAACGACCAGCCTGATTCGCCATATGAATAGGCGGCATCCCTTCCAAAAAATTGCTAGGCAGGAGCATTTGGAAACAGAAGTTGACACGCAGGCAGCAGCAACGCAGGTAGAAGCACCACAGAGAGCAGCAACGCAAGTAGAATCACAACAGGCAGCAACACAGCGAAATACACCCCGAGCATCATACGCACCGCAAGGATCGGTATCACAGTACCTACACAAGCCACTTCCAGTCAAAAAGCAGCAACAAATCGATGACCAGGTAATTAAAATGATTGTCCGCGAGTACCATCCATTTAGCATCGTCGAAGACGTGGAATTTAAAAAGCTAGTATGTCTCCTAAATCCGAACTATAAACTCCCAACTAGGAAAACAGTCTTCTTAAATTACAATTTAGGCAACAATGATTCCTAATGTTAAACACTATGTTTTTAAAACATAAAACGAATGTGCATAATGTACTGAAAACGCAAAACGAATGTACCTAATGAATTAGTAATTCATACATTTACCTACAATATAATTTTAAATATTTCGAATGTTAAACACTATGTTTTAAAACATAAAACAAATGTGCCTAATGT